TTTAACACAATGCTATGTCAATGACACTAAACTTCAGATTTCTTTCAAGATGCCTGATTGTCCTACTGCCGTAAACAATTTAAAAAGTGACCTTTTTTTGATACACAACTAGTGTTTTAACAAATTTTAATTTTAAATCCAGAAAAAACAAAACAAATAATCTGTCTCCAGTGTGAAAACGGCCACTGACTTTTTCTCAATGTTAAGATATTTTACTATAGAGAAGTGGCCTGTGACCACATTTTTACCCTCCAATGCAGGAAATTGTTAGAAATAAGGAAGTAGTTATGACTGGGAAATAACAGTAACTCAGCATCTTTTAATTCCAAACTAGAAAACCCAAACAATTTGTCCTAGGATTTCTGTACTTCCTACATTTAAAGTTAGGCCAGTGAAGTTAGGATGTAAAAGGAGCCTATGCAATCCATCCAATTGTCTTCATTTCCTGTATAGCTTATTTATTAAATTTTACCATATGAGGTATCAAACATAGAGAAAATGACTACAGTGTGGAATTGCAGTTGTGAGGATCAACAAAATAATCAAAATTGTATTTCCAGTTTGTAGGCACCTCGCTCGTGCTCATGGTTCCTGTCTTTAAAATCTTAATGAACCATTTATTTACATTGTATTGTGAAAAACAATCAAGAAAAAGCTGAGTCTTGTATTAATAATGCCAGGCCTAGGCCAGAAGGCATACTGTGCTAGACTGACAAATAAGCATTTCATAATGACAAAACTAACTCAAACAGAACACTGTGAATATAAATTAAGTTCTATAAACTTAATTGATGATCATAAGTATACTTGCTTTTCATAATGCTCTCCCTTACAATCGTTAACTCATGCAATACAGTACAAATTTTATTGTCAACTCCCCATGGGGGCTTTTCAGAGACAAATATTAACGGTACAGGTAATAAAAAACAAACAAACAAACCAAAAAAATACTCAAGAATTGTCAATAAACAATAATTATTATTAAAAAACTATTTGCATATAGAATTTATGACATCACAAATTGATTATCAATAAACTATTAAGAAACTATTTACATATAAATTTATGACATTAAAAATTGATTTAAAAGGAAGGCTTTCATTTTACGTTTGAAAATGATAAGAGATTCACTTAATTTAGAATGGGGTTTTAACGCATTCCACAATGTTACAGTTCTGTGATAAAAAGATCTCTGTCCCGACTTGGTTTTAAAAAGCAGTATATTAAGCTGGGAAGATGATCTGGTCATCCGACCACTGATATTCCCTCTGGAGATAAAATTTGAACTTCCTTGTCTCAGAAACTATGTGAGCAGCGAAATTCCGTACTCCTTGTAGTTTGGGTATATTGCTGGCAGAAGTATTCGACTAGATGGACAAGCAGTAATACAACTTACTAAACACGAGAGAATTAATTATTGTAATAAGTATGTCTTTTCTAATTATATGTTTAACTCGGCTAATTTGCCCTAGGGCAGACATACAAGATGATGCTGTTTTAATTATGTGGTCGTTGAAAGAGAGTTTTTTGCTTTTGTCACGGTAGCAAGAAACATATACCAAGTAGTTATGCCTCTTCTTTGATTAAATAGCTTCACAGTAGAGTCATGCTATATTAATCTACCTTTAACTTTATCAAAGCTCACACTGTATATGAAAGTTCAGTGTTATTATGTACATGTACAAGGAAGACAAAAAAAACTTAAAGTACTCTGTGGTGTAATTTACAATACACCTATGAAAAGGATCTGAACAGTTAGCAGGTAAATCTCTACACTTGTAATTACATAAAAAGGGGGAACCTGAAACTTTCGTCATGTGTGCCCATCCATGAAGTGTCCCCTGGTAGGGACGTCATGTGTGCCCATCCATGAAGTGTCCCCTGGTAGGGACGTCATGTGTGCCCATCCATGAAGTGTCCCCTGGTAGGGACGTCATGTGTGCCCATCCATGAAGTGTCCCCTGGTAGGGACGTCATGTGTGCCCATCCATGAAGTGTCCCCCGGTAGGGACGTCATGTGTGCCCATCCATGAAGTGTCCCCCGGTAGGGACGTCATGTGTGCCCATCCATGAAGTGTCCCCCGGTAGATACGTCATGTGTGCCCATCCATGAAGTGTCCCCCGGTAGATACGTCATGTGTGCCCATCCATGAAGTGTCCCCCGGTAGATACGTCATGTGTGCCCATCCATGAAGTGTCCCCCGGTAGATACGTCATGTGTGCCCATCCATGAAGTGTCCCCCGGTAGATACGTCATGTGATCCCTTTTTTCACTAAGAGGTGTGTCTACCACTTGTCCAAAAGTAGAGAAAAACAGATTTTATATCAAAATTGCTTCCATTGTTTTAAAAATCAAAACCACTTTTTTTTCTGCCATTTTGTTTTAAGGTTTTATCAAGCCAGTCAAATTGGATATTACAGCAGCTGCTATATGGCACGAAAGAAAATGCTACTTTTTGCTGTATGGAACAAATCTTTCACCCAGGATCCAAAAGGCTTGAGTGAACATAGGATACATTAGACCACAGGAAGGTAACAGATTGGGGTGATATTTGTCCCTTTCATGACGCACAATCATTGGCTTTCATGCATATTTTTGATTTAATTAAATTTCATGCATTTTTCATTGGACCCTTTCCATTTTATGCATATTCATTAATTCCTGTCTATTCATCACTTCCTGATCATTTCATGCATATTCATTGATTTTTGTCTATTCGCCAATTTCATGCATATTCAGCGATTCATTTTCATTTCATGCATATTCATCGATTCCGTGCATATTCATTCCTGTCGATTTCATGCGTATTCATTGATTCCTGTGCATTCATCAATTTCATACATATTCATTAATTTTATGTATATTCACTAATTCCTGCCGATTTCGTGCATATTCATTAATTCCTGTCCATTCATCAATTTCATGCATATTCATTAATTCCTGTCGATTTCATGCATATTCATTGATTCCTGTGCATTCATCAATTTCATACATATTCATTAATTTTATGTATATTCACTAATTCCTGTTCATCTCATGCATATTCATTAATTCCTGTCCATTCATCAATTTCGTGCATATTCATTAATTCCTGTCCATTTCATGCATATTCATTAATTCCTGTTCATTTCATGCATATTCATTAATTTTATGTATACTCACTAATTCCTGTTCATCTCATGCATATTCATTAATTCCTGTCGATTTTATGCATATTCATTGATTCCTGTCCATTCATCAATTTCATGCATATTCATTGTTCCTGTCTATTCATCAATTTCATGCATATTCATTTGTTTCTGTTCATCTCATGCATATTCATTTATTCGTGTTCATTTCATGCATATTCATTTGTTCCTGTTCATCTCATGCATATTCATTGATACCTGTCTATTCATCAATTTCATGCATATTCATTGTTGCATGCATATTCAACAAATTTCATGCGTATTCATTAATTCCAGTTCATGTCATGCATATTCAATTCACAAATTCGAATCATTTCCGATTCTTTTCCCCGTTTGTTTGAGGTTAAATAGTTTCAATAGAGCGTTTTCACATGATGTCACCGCAGCCATGTTGGTGTTCCCATCCTCTGGGAATTTAACTCTACTTTTATGCAAATAGTTTCTTTTGTTTCATTAAATTAGCATCCATTCTAGTCACGTGAGTGAAAACGCTCTATATCATCACTTAACCAGAAATATAAATCAAATTCAATTTTGGAACAAGAGAATCAAACGAGTCCCAAAAGAGAAACGCCATTCCTCATTATTTCGACAGGCCTTTTAAAACTTCATAGGCAGTTTGATCCTCAACAAAAAAATCATATAAGTATCTGTCTCATTTCTGAAGTCTAGTAACTTTATTCATATAAATGTAAAATGGAAAATACCTTCTCATCGAATGACAAAAATTTCAGACAAATTCATACAGTGTTGTCTTGGAAAGAAAAATGCTTTTATTCTCAAAACACTCACGCCTTAATATTAAATATTATCCATGAAATCGAGAAAAAAATGACTTGCTGGAAACCGTGAATATTAAAAAAAAACAAGAAAAATAGACCATTAACCTTTCCTTCAACTATCATCAATAACGATAAGTAACATTCTTACAGCTAATGAGTTCACTTCACAGGAATGCAGTCTGAATCTACTTTGTTTTCTTTTTTACTGTCGTTTACTCGTTCAGCTGACACAACAGTTGTTCCCTTTTCAATCAAGAAGTTGGACGGTAGATAAGTTGGTATATAAACAGCAACAAAGAAGTTCGTGGAATGACCTAAGAATGCAAAGGAACATTTTTAAAATTAACCCTACTAAATTACTTTAACGTAAACTCTTCATCTAAATGGCAATTTTGTTTATTTCTCACTAAAGAAACTGTAAAGATATTACCACCAATAATAAAGGGTTGCGGTAAAAATGTCCGGAAATACGAGCCAGAGATGCACATTGATTTTGATATGTCACTATTACACCTATTCATTCATTGTTGCATGCATATTCATCAAATTTCATGCATATTCATTAATTCCAGTTCATGTCATGCATATTCAATTCACAAATTCGAATCAGTTCCAATTCTTTTCCCCTTTTGTTTGAGGTGAATGCCTATTCATTAATTACTGTTCATTTCATGCATATTCGAATCATTTCTATTCATTCAAATGTTTACTTGACGTTTGCACTTAACTTGAACACGACAATGTTCATCAAAAATATTATCATGTATAAATCTGGAGAGAAGTGCTGAATAAAAGACGAGCTCTCAATTTTGCAAGTAACTTGTTTGATATTTCCTTATGCAGGGGCTGTTAATCACCTACGAAGAAATGGGACTTCACAGCCTCCACAACTTAAAAATCAGACCAAGCAGGAATCGGAAGCAAGCTCCTGTGCTTACCAGTGGTGAACAAGACCCCAGCACGAGCAGACATTTTGGACAGTGGGCAAGTGTAAAGCGAGGAGTCTGGAATATAGTTCACTCGACGTTCCATATGTAAGATGGGACAATGCTGCAATGTAAAACAGAAAAAGATAAAGTTCCTGGGTTCAACACCCGTTCTAACCACTCATTGAATTTGTTCCCAGAAGTCCCTGGTTCAACTTCTTGGGCGCACTTGTAAATAGCCAACTGGTTTGCCTCCGGCCAGTTGGGGTTCTTAACAGTTGTTGCTGTTGTGCCTGAGTGGACCAAAGACGAAAAATACGAACGAACATGTAAAGAAAAGGACAGCGAAAGAGATCATGCATGTTAGCTATTACTAGGTGTCACAGCAGCTTCTATCGTTTTCAAAATGTAAGTCAGTTTCTTCTTTTTTGTTGCTTTCAAGGTTTTGACACCACGGCACTCACACTGTACATCATGACAGCGCTATTGCCTGATTTCATACCGTGGGAGCCTGGCACTAGTTATCCGTTTTGCCGGACGGAAGTGAAAAAAGATGGCGGGAAATGTGAAAGAAGACTCGCCCAAAATGGCTTTTGCAGCAGTAAAAAAAGTCATAAATGATGATTGCCTTGAATCGCTCAACACAAAAAACTTGGGAGAACTTTGTAATAGTCTTAAACTTAAAGCTTCCGGGACTAAAAGTGAATTGTTACAAAGATTGCTACCATTTAAAGATGACCCGGCTTTGCTCGACAACAGAGTGAAGAACATCTCTGTGAAGTACAGCTTTACAACAGCCCTATCGAGACAGGAGATCCCACCACCAACAGCTGGATGGAAATGCAATACTTCTCTCTTTCCCAAGATTTCAAAAGACGTTATCAAGACATATCAGTCTAATAAACGACAGGGAATGATAGGACAATTTCGCAAAGCTCATCGAATGTTTTCTTCAAGACGAATGAAAACCATCAAGGTTTTCCAAAATGGTAGCCAGTTATTTGTCAAGTCAAGCATATTGAAAAGCTTTTCTTCTGAAGTTACACGAACTGCAACTGTCTTGTTCATTGACAATGTTCCCAAGAAAGGTTTTTGCGAATGTGCTGTCGGAAAGTGTGGTCTCTGTTGTCATGTTATCGTTATACTGCTACAGTTAGAACACTTCACAACACATAAAAAGCTGTTTTTGTCTTTGACCTGTACAGAGAAGCTTCAAAAGTGGCATCGACCAAATTTAAAGAAAGGGAAAGAGCTAAAAGCTAACTTGAAGGCTGCTGCTCATATCAGACTGAAATATTTTAGAAATGCCAAATCAGCAAGACATGTAAATTAAAGAACAAAGAAGAAAGTTGTAGCTAGAGGTGTAAGTGATGAAAACAGTGACTGGCTGAAACGAGATATTTCCTCCATGAGCTCTCAAGTAGTAGATGGCCTGTCTAAATGCAGAATCAATTTATCAAATCATTTTCTTAAAACTCTAGAGAAATTTAAAATAAGACACTCAGGATTGTATCGCCATTTGTCTTACAAAAATGCTTATCTGAACAGAGTGATACAAAATGAACATGACTACACAAAACTAAATCCTCCAGCAAACCTGGAACAAAACTCCAAAACACCTTCTGAGTGTGAGGATAAATGGCACTCTTCATTGATAGCCAATTCTAACAACTTCAACCAAGATAATTGCACAGTGGGACAGCCTACTTCAGAATGTCAAGAGCAAACATTTTGTGCAGATAAAACTCAAGAGTTGTTAGAATTGCTTACAAACTCTAAAGATGAGATTATAACTGTTAAGGTCCCTCAGCTTAAAGAAGTCAGACTAACTACAAGTGCAAGATACATTGATGTTCAACAAGGCACTTCTGATTGGCTTAACCTGAGGACGGGGGTAATAACAGCAAGTAAACTACCATCACTCCTGGGTTTTCATGGAAACAAAGAGTTTGATTCATCATGGTTTTATATTTTAAACAAGATAGATGAAAGTAAATGTAAACTAAAACAATACAGAAACTTTCAAAGAGGAAACTACTATGAAAAAGAAGCTTTAGAGCACTTTCAGAAACTCTCTGGTAAGTCAGTTTATTCGAAAATATTAATAGTAACATAATACTCTAAAATTTAGCAAATAAGTATATTATCAGCATATCATGCAGTTAATCATGTACATAACATAATCAAATAGGAATACACTTACGTGAACATAAATGTAAGCACAAAAATTAATGTAAGTTTCAGTAATCATGAATTGATTTCTATTTTTTCCTACAGGTGTCCCAGTCTCAAGTTGTGGGTTTTTCAGACATCCATCAGACACAAACTATGGAGCAAGTCCTGATGGTATTTCAGAAGCATTTCTTGTTGAGGTCAAGACAAGAGCAGAAAACTCTGAAGCCCCATTAGACAAAATCACAGGCTCACATATTATTCAAGCAAATTTTCAGATGTCTTGTGCAGGAGCAAATCTTGTATTTTTGCAATCTTATCTCCCTGAAAAGAAAAGTTCAAATATATTTTTCATACCCAGAAATGACCTGCTTATAGATGTCTTAAAAGAAATAACTGATCATATTTTACATCACAAAATTGTAAGTAAGTGGGATTATGAAGAGAATAACCATCTCTCTGAACTTGGAAAGAACTTATTAAATACTGTTCCTAGCTTTGACACATTACGTCAATTCCGTAAGTGGGTAAACCAAATGACAAAGCATATAAAGAAGGTAGTCTTTGTTAAAACATAGTCATGTAATATCAACAGAGTTTTTTGGAACTAGTTGTAGTTGTTTTATTTTGGTCCAACTGGTTTTTTTAACATATTAACAATATGTGCAAATATTTGGAAACAGCAACCAAGTAAATCAATTCTTGAGCTTGGCCAAGTTTTGCTTAGAATTTGCCAATCTCTGATTCTTCCTATGTAGTTTTCAATGTAGATCCTTAATGTTGCAATGTCAAAGTTCTTTCTTTACCTCAGTCTCATCAAATTGATGCGAAAATTTCATTGGAGGTCTATTGTGTAACAGGCCTTTCTCATGACAAATATCAGTGATATTAAAGCCCTTATCAGTCATAACTGTCTTCCCTTTTGTAACTGTATCTAGCACACATGATTGCTCTGTTATGTCAGCATCACTAATGCTGCCAGGAAATGCATCGGTACATTTGAGTAAAAAACCAGGAGGAAGGGTCCACAAACATATCTTCCCTGTAGTGTGGTTCTTGTAGTTCGAGAATGTAATATTATTAATATCAAAGTTCTCTGATTGGGAGATCCAAATTTCAGTTGCATCCCCTATGAGAGCAGTATCACCATATCCTGACTCCATAAAACATTTTGGCATATAGTCATTCAAAAATCCAGGTAATGGGGTCAGGTCAATAGACTCAAAAATGGTGCTCAGGAATACACACCATCCTACAAAAATTCTACTCATAGTTGAGATACTTGAACCAGTCATCCATGCAATAACACCAAGGTCCAATGCATGTCTACAAATTGTCAAGAAACTGATAAGTTCTGTCTTTGTGTCCAGCTTTCTAAGATGGGACGAGTCGTCATTGTTACAATCAGGATAAACAATTGTGTGCAAGAAAGGCTCCAAACATTCATATAGACAATCTAATTCGGAAAGTGTTAATCCTGTCATGTAGTAAATTCTATCTGGGTATCTCATGAGTGCTTCATAACTAAAAGTTTGGCCTTCGAGTGCTTTCTTCATTGCATTGAGTTGCTGACTGTTGTTCGCAGCATTTTTTTTCAAGTTCTGTTTGAGTCTTTGACAGCTGTTGCTGTAAATCTTCAATCAAAGCCTTTTTTCCATTTAGTTCTCTCGTCAAACTTTCCACTTGACTTTTAAGCTTCTGATTTTCTTTTTCTACGTTCGCAGCTGAAACCCGTCGCTTTTTAACACGCGGTACGGGAGTTTCACTCCTGTCTTTCGGGGTTTCCTTGGAGTACTCCTCACGGTATTGGCATTCGACGAAGTAAGAACCGTTTTTGTACAGTCAATTTTCCTTTTCAATTCCCTAGATGGTTTTTTGGGAGTACTCTTTTTCCAGATTAGCAGCATATTCTTTTGTACAAATTATGTCTGGCAATTGATTCTTGTTCTCTCGTTTCCCTGAGCTCCAATGGGCGCTGCATATAACATGTTTTCTCCAGTTAATATTTTCGTTCATAAGAACTTTCCTATATCCTTTTTGAAGCTCAGGATCGCTGGGCAAAGTGTAGTACGTTATTCCTTTAGTTCTGTAATTATTCGTACACAAAGAACTGGCACAATTCCAATGCCAAGTTTTCGTGTAAGTCGCCATCTCTACGCCATTAAACTGAAGTGCACTTCCGTCCGGCAAAACCGATAACTAGTGCCAGGCTCCCACGGTATGAAATCAGGCAATACCACCCAAAAGAAAAACACGTCTTACTGCTATAAACATTCATTGAAGAAGAAAGTCTTTGACCCAGGAGCCCAGAGGCTTGAGTGAGGAAAAGGCTACCTTAGACCACGTGGAAGGAACGTGGAATCAGTGCTTTTTATATGGGCCCCGATATCTGGAATAGTTGTGACGTAGTACATCTGCAGAGAACGTTTGTATAAGTACAATGTTGAAAACATGGCACATCACCATTATTCAAAATGATTGTGCCTAAGAAATTTGATAGTGAAAGAAAGCGATTCCACACTCAATTGCTTTTCTAATACAAACACCTTCTTGGAAGAATTTTACAACAAATTTGGTTGTAGCAAGGTTTAAAATTACCCATGCAAGGAGTGGGGATTCTCTTAAGATGGCTCACTGTTTCAACACGTAAAAGACCTTTTTTAGCTTGTACGTTTCGTTTTTTCCCATTTCAAACCACGTGATGTTCTCAAGAGAATTTTCTTTTGTTTTATCATAAGTTATGTGCACATATGCACTTGCGTAAGACGACATTTGAAAGAAACTGTTCTCCAGAGTAACATCACGTGGTCTGAAATGGGGAAACAAAACGTACAAGCAATGTCTCATTGGAACGAAAACCCTACCACACAGTTTCACACAACGACAATGTTATGGTACCATGCGAGACATTAATAGTTGGTTAGCTAGATGCACTTATTAAGCAATTATTGCTTTTCGTATGGTACCAAAACAAACCTTGTCGTTTTGTGAAACAGTTGTGTACATAGACCATTTTGCTAATACAGTGGCATTTTAAAATCCATTGTTTCAAATTGCCAACATGGGGTTCAGTTTTAAGCCTAAAAACTTGGTAAATGTTCTCACCCAAGCTAGCAAATTTGGAACCATCTTTGGGCGAGAAGAATCTACTGGTGACCCAAAGCATCAGTACCTCGTCCTCCATATGGGATCTGTGAAAAACAAACAAATAATAAAGATGTGAAAACCCGAGTTCCGGTTCGTAACCATGCAAATAATATGTAGCGCTTGGTCTGCTATTACTGAGAAATATCAAATAAAGTTGTAAAACAGTCTTAAAGCTTGTCAAACTTTCTTGACTTCGTTTCATACTGCAAGCAGTCTCTCACTTTTTGGTCCGTCTCGCAAGGACGTGATCCTCACGACGTTCTTCACTCACGCACCTTGAGAGGATCGCGTTCTTACTTGACTGTCAAAGAGAACAACAAGGTTGATTGCATTCTCGTGATGCCATGACCTTCTTAAACGTCTTCTCCCTAACAACACATCTACGATATTCAAGAATTCGTTGTTACGCTTGTAGGAGAACTACAGTTATATTTCTCCCCAAATATAATTCCTAGAAAAAACCGTTTCCCCATCCAAAGCAAAACGAAAATGCAACTGGTAGAAAGAGCACCGAATGTAAAATTTTTCTGGCTGGGTGCACTTTAAGATGGCTCAAATCAGTTACAACAATTTTCATTAAGGGAAAGTCTTATTGGAAGGATTGGCCCTACAACACCGATTCACGTAAAGGAACTGTTATCGTATCATATGAAAAATCAATTGTAGCCAAAAAAGACGTTATAGATTACCATAGCAACCAACGAGCCATCCAAATACACTCTTCATTTTGACTTCAAACGCTTACATTGAAAACAAATTTGGTGACTCCGAAGTTTTGTTGCTAGGATTACCAGGTGAGGTGACATCCTCTGAGAAGTTCATAAAATTCTCTGCAGCGGGTTCAGAGCCACCTTAAAATTTTCTAACAGTGAAGGTAGCCCTGAATTTGCTGCAGAGAATTTTTAAACTTTGAAGAGAGTTATATCTTAGCTTGGTTATCACTTTCCAGCAATAAAAATTAAGAGTCACCGAGTTTATTTTTGAGATCTAAGCGCTTACAGAAAAGAAATAGGGTGTATTTAGATAGCTCTTTTGTTGCTATGGTAACCTATTACGTCACGTTTCTAACGTATCTTGTTAAGCAATAGACCTTTTTCGCTTGTACATTTTGTTTTCCCAATACAGATCATGTGATAATACTCAGGAGGTTTGGTCTGTTGTTTTTTTCATTAAAAAGAGTGCATGCAAGCATGAATACGTCTGCATGCACTCCTTTTAATGAACAAAACAAAGGACCAAATTAATTAAACCTCCTGAGTATTATCACATGATCACATGATCTGTATTGGGAAAACAAAATGTGCAAGCGAAAAATGTCTATTATTTTCATCGTAGTAGCACTTTAACTCTACAACACTGTTTCACTTAATGGCGACGTTATGGTACCTTATGAAACAATAACTGTTTAAGAAGATGCACCTATTAATGCTACGTAATGAATTACCTTGGCAACAGAAGAACTATCTAAAAACGCCCTATATTTTGTGTTTAAGCACTTATATCTCAGTAACGAACTCGGTGACCCCCATTTTTTATTGCCGAAAAGTGATTAGCAGGCTAAGACGAAACTCTCTGCAAGGTTAAAAAATTCTCTGGAGTGGATTCAGAGCCACCTTAACCTTTTTTAAATTGTAAACGTCGCTATGAATCTGTTCCAGAAACTTTTTTTCAACTTTGCAGAAAGTTTTATCTTAGCGTGCTAGTCACTCTCCGGCAACAAAAAATGGGGGTCACTGAGTTCGTTTTTGAGATATATGGGTTTGAAGAGAAAATGTAGGCTCTTTTTAGATGGTTTTTTTTGTTGCCCTGGTAACCCATTATGCCACATTAATGAGTGCATCTTGTTAAGCATCTCCTGGTGTTTCATATGGTATCATAACCTTACCATAAGGTGAAAAATTTTGGTGGATTCAATTCTTCCAAATAGTACAGTTTGTTGAAAGTGTTACAATGGTTTGAACCTCCTTTAAAGGTGGGTTTCCACGACAGAGCAAAAATGGGACAGAACAGATAAAAAGCGACGATGAATTTTGAAAAGAAACAGCTAAATTTCATGCGTGCTACGAAGGAGTCGTCGATGCGTTACCGCGCAGACAGGAACTCACGAATCCATTCCATTCCGTTCTTGCGCCGTGACGTTAAGGCACTTTTATGGTCTCCTCAGTCCTCAAGAATAGTTGCAACTGCCATTGTATAGAACAAACCTATTTACCTGGCCAGTCATAAAGGTACGAGCATCCCAAAGAATCTGTTCTTCTGCTAAGAACATATTTAAATTGTTCAGAGGGTTCTCTCGATCCGAGTCGTTGAACTCGTACTATATAAATGAACATGAAGGGAACAACAGATTAGTAACAGCATGTCGATTGTTGAATGTCAATTGCAAAATTAATTATCATTAATGATGATAATAATAATAATGATAAGGATAAGGATAAGGATGTCAACAACAACAATAATAATAATAATAGTAATAACAACAATAGAAGTTCTCTCTTGTCATGTCCCTTTTTTATTTCTATTCGTGTCGCTGTTTGGGTAACCACTTTGCAATTGTGCCTTAATTGTCTTATAATCTTCCGTACTGAAAGAGGCAAGCATAACCCCTTCCCTGGCCCCATCAAGCACATTTTTGTTCAGAAACAAGCACAAATAACCCAGACGTGATTCATCATTGTTTGGGGGTGAGAAGAAATCGTGATAACACTTAATTAAACAATTTTGTTCGGGATTGGAGGTTACTTTCCAGGTCATTTTGCAGATCAGGCAAAGTAAAGGAAAATTTCAGGCCATTTTGCTGGAAAGTAAGAGGGATGAATCCGTCCCCTTACTGTAACAATATTCTCCGAAACAACAAACACCACCAATGACAAACAAATAGACATCATACCTCTATCGATCCTACCTTAACAATGATGGGCTTGCTCACTATTTCCTCCTTCAAGCTAGTGAAAGCTGGAAGCGAGTCCTAAAGTAAAAAGGTACAATGAAGTTTAGAATAACCAAGAAGCCGATAAAATGTAAAATACAGATGCAGCTTTGGCCACGGACGTCGTACAGTCGAGATCAGAGTAATTTTGGCCACTCAGATACAGACAGAGATATTACCCAATTATAGCACAGGAAAGTACTTGTAGACGTGTAACTGCTAGTTTTGTCTACGTCCAATAGACCTCACTCACTTGTACATTTTGTTTTCCCAATGCAGATCTGTCCTCATGTGATCCTTTGTTTTGTTCATTAAAAAGAGTGCATACAAGCATGAATATGTCTACATGCACTCTTTCTAATGAACAAAACAAAGTACCAGACCTCCTGAGTATCGTCATTTGATCTGAATTGTGAAAACAAAATGTACAAGCGAATAAGGTCTATCAGTCCAGGGAAATGCGCTACGGTAAGGTGTGGGATTGCAGAAAATTAAGTCAGTTTTTAAAGTGCCACTGTGACCAAAAAATCAATTGTTTTTTTTTGGATTTCAGAACTATGTTAACTAAACACTAAGCGACCAAAGTTTTAAGCCTTGATTTAAAAAAGACACCTGTTTATTTTAAGCTGGGGCCTGTTTCTCGAAAGTCCCGAAACTTTTCCGGCCCTTTTCGGGTGTCATAATTCTCTATGTATCTTATGAACGGAGGGATCTTAAGACACCAAACTTCACAATCATTTTGGTTTTTGTGATTTTGAAAACATTGCAAAAGAACGGCTTCTCAAAACAAACGAATGGCAGTTTTGTAAATCGCTTCTCGGGCCCAAAAAGTTTACGGTACATTGGAGAAACAGGTCCCAGGGGCCCGTTTCTCGAAAGTCCTGAAAACGTTTCGGGCCCAAAACCATTTGTGAAACTGCCAACTGCTTGTTTTGGAAAGCCGATCTTTTAACATGTTTTCAAGCCAACTAAGAGGAACATGTCTGTGAGGTTTGACGACTTAAATCCTCTCCGTTGTTGAGATACAAAGGGAATTGTGACACCCGAAAATGGCCTTAAAGTTTCGGGACTTTAGAGAAACGGGCCCCTGGATCGAAAAGAAAATGACGTCAAAGACTCACTAGGTTAAGAATGCAATGCATGTGTACACCGCAGAATTAATACGAACAGTCAGTCTCAAACGTGAGTAATGGCAGACCGTGACATCCAAAACTAACACTCAAAGTAAACGGCCTTTGGATAAAAGTCAAAGCTCAAACTTTGGCCAGTCAGGTGTTCAGCAAACACACTTTCAAAATCTGAAGAAAAGAAGGAAGTGATTTTTTTATTACAGGGGCACTTTGAAGGAACGAGGCAATCCCGCACATTGGTGGGCGCTTAACTGCGCTGCAGACCGTTTTTAAGCTGCAAGACAGTAAGAGAAAACGCATCTATAAGTTTGCGTTTTCGATAAAAAAGCCAATAAATATTAGACCGTCTTATTGTTCTTTTATCGCCTTTTGCAATCCGCAAAATCAGTTTGAGATAAATACAAAAAGGTGACGTAAGAATTCGGCGTTCTCAGGACGTATTTATCAAGAGACAGAATCAAGTTATTCGATTTTTATAAATATACCCATTTGAAGTATCTAAATTAGCATAAGAAAAAAAGTCTCAAAAATCATTTATGATAAACCGTGGTAAAACTGGCACGTACCTCCAAATCCCAGCAAGTGTGCCACAAGCGTTCATTTAGCCAAGGAATATCAGGCTTAGGAGGGCGTTCCTAAAGAACAGGAAGGAGAATGTCATAAAATGATTGAGTAGCTCACAAGTAACATCAAGCAACGGATACAAGTATCACTGTTACCCTACCCTAGCTGGTACAAAAGACTGAAGTGATGTCACCCTTCCCCCATCTGAATTACTCCTTTCTACCTTTCCCAGTTGGAGGAAGAAAAGCAACGGATCGTCTCTTATCTTAGGGTGGATCCCCGAGTTCAAATCCCGCTTTGAACAATACTCTGAGTTGTCCAGAATTCGAATCCACTATGCTTTGCAAATGGCCAAATGGTTGCCCTTCATTCTCATTCTTTAAAAAGCTACTTTGAAAATATCCATGTAGAAAATGCTATACTCGAAAGTAAAAATTGGGTGCATTGCTAGTTGGAACCAACATAAAATCAACATTGTGCCCTGAAAATCACCACACTATCATTGGGCAGACGTTGTAGGAATAGATAATGATGATGCCGATACTGATGGTGATAATGACAATGAAGGTGATAATGATGATGACGATGATTATAATGGTGATGATGACGATGACGAGCAGGCCCGCGATGAAGACGATAATGATGACGATGGAGACGATGATTATAATGATAATGATGACAATGACAATGATTACGATAATGGTGATGATGACGACAACCACGCCCATGACGAAGACGAAGATGATAATGATGATGATGATGACGACGGTGACGATGATTACGACAACCACGACCATAACGAAGACGATGTTTTTTTTTTGTTATGGAAACGCAGGGAAAATGAATGGCAAATTATGATTGTTCTCAAACACTGTCCTAGCTGCATTACAATAAACCAACTTGTAAATGATGTAACATTTGAATGTGATTCATTTTGTCTTCACTTATGAACTTGCTTACGGAACCGCAAAACAAAAAGGGCAAATGCTAGTTGTCCCATCAATACCATATTACTTAACTTCCATTTGAAATTCTCCCTTTTGTTTGCATACCTTACTCGACTTCTCAGCGTGTAATCTCTCGCATGATGTCCCTCAAATTCCTTTAGCCTTTCACCTTTCACCTAATCAAAGCTCCCAATTCTATTACCCATCTGAGATATCTCCTCTCTGTCGCATTATCTCGCCACAAAGCATGAACATAAACACCAACTTGTCTTTCTCAAACAAGCCCCTGTAATGAAGAACAGTTATATCAAATCGAGGTCTCGTTGACATGCATGTGATTAAAGATGTTTTTCAAAGAAACTTGAAAATTTTATTTATGGTGCTCTTTTCCCAGTAATATTTAGGTGAGAAAAAAGGAATCAGTCATCCAAGAAATATCAACGTATTTATAAAATCACAGGCCCCAAGCTCAATCCAGCCTATTAAAAGACAAACCAAGTAAGAACTCTTTGAGAATTAGTTTCATTTCCAAGAAGCTGGAGGAAATGGCCTTCTTGAAAAAGCCACATAAAAATTCACGAAAGAAATAAAAACTTTAAAAGTGAAAACAAATAGGCAGAATGTTTCAAGAATTTTTACGACCTTGAAAATAGTTACCAGGGTTTATGCTAGCCTATGTACATCCACCTCCTTCCCTGGTTTTTCCAGGGGAAGAGGTGGATGTATACAGGCAAGGTTACACAATCACGATCCACCTAGATATAAGCGACTAAAAAACACTCAAACCGATTGAAACAAATGCAAAAACATCACAGGGGTGGGGGTAGCTCGAGACAAGCCAAGATACTCAAAATACCCCCTCCTCCCTTTATAGAGCTAAACTTACCGAGCCACGTTGGTGTACAACGAGTTGGTGCAATTCGTGAAAAGGATCTCAAGCTTTTTGTCCAGGCCATCTGTCTTCTCGCTGTTTTCGATGCACGAATTGAACAACTGCCAAAAACCAAGACACGTTTAAGTCAGAAAAAACAACGTTTCTAGTTTTAGCATGATACTCAGAAATGTGACCATTTGAATGACAGCTAATGACCAGCAATTCAGCGAATGCCAGGGACAAAGTCTGACCACGAAAACAGTAGTAGAACAATGCACAGAGTAATAAATAACTAAAAAGCCAAACAAAAAGCTCTTTCTTGATAAGGTACTTGTCTTTCTATAACATAAAATATGCATGATTACAATAACACTCTGATAGGTAAAGAGATTGCTAAATGCTGTGTACTTTAGAGAAGTTATTACTGATTAAGATAAAAGAAGCCAAACGAATAAAGAAAGAAGGGAAGACGATGTCAAGATATAATTATTAGGAAAAAGTATTGTTAGTACTGATCCCTGAGAGAATACACATTTAATGTTTTGAAGCAGAGATTTCTAGTCGTCGATTTGGTGTCAGTAGATGAAATCCTAGTTTGAATATTCAAATGAAAGCAATAAAGCAGTACTTTGCTTTGGTGCTGTTTATTTTATAGTACAAGGCGGTTCTAACTTTTGAGTCTGTGGGTGAAATCTGAAAGTGTGACCATTCAAATGAAAGTTACTGGAGAGTACATTCCTGTGTGGTGCTATTATATTATAAAGATGTTGCCCATAGTTCTTAAATTACTTGTTACCTGTTTGAAGTACTTGAGCGAGTACTGATAGCTAGAGTCGACTT